GTGTTCATTTCAATTCAAGACCGCTTCTTGCCACAGTGTAAGGATCTAAGGCCACGGGAAGTGAACAGCCCCAGGTGTGACTGGGCTTTTGGCACAGGTCTCTCCGGGAGCCCACAGTCGCCTCAGGCGCGCCCGCAGAGCAGGTTCTTGGCCGCGCTCGCTCTTGGCCGCAGCCCGGGGAGGGCCCGGTTCCAGCCAGCGGGGAGCGGGGAGATAATGACTGTGACAAGGCTCCAGGCGGGGTATTATTATTCCTGCGAATTCTCTCTCAGCGGGCGAGGCCAGCGCAGGGCGGCGGTGGGGAGGGGCGCCATCTGCAAGTCGCCCCCTTTCTCTCCGGGCTGTTCCGTTACAGAACGGGCGCGGAGTGGATTTTCAGCCCTGTCCGCCTTTTCCACCCCGGTGGCCAACGCGGCCGTCCCCTCGTGCCGCCCGCCCCGGCCCTCGCCCGCAGCGGCCCGCCCCCTCCCCGAGGGGCAAGGGGGTGGCTGTGTCCAGACGGTGGCGCTCCGGGACCGGCAGCCCCCTGGGCCCCCGTAGCAGGAAGGTAGCCTGGGGGCAGTTTTCCAGGTGTTTGCTGAAATATTCTGGGACGACCCCCCGCAGGAGCCCTAGCTTGAGTAGAGGGGCAGAAACGCACTCTCGGGGCCAAGGCTGCTGAGGAAGGCGCCCCCGACCCGCGCCCCTGTCGTTTGCCGCAGTCACTCGCTTTCCCGCGGCCGGACAGTCTGCGAACCTGGGTCGCCGCCGCGGCCGCCACGCCTGGGAGGGGGATCCGCGGGGCGCGGGCGAGGGCCGCCCTGCACGACGTCGACCACAGAGCCCCAGCCGGAGGACGGCGTGGACGGGGACGACCTAAGCCGTGCCCCTCGGCGGGGGGCCCTGATCTGCCGGCGGCTTCTTGGCTGAGCTGCCCGCACCTCCGCGCGCGTCCGCGCCGCGCGCCGCCGCGCAGTTCCCCGAGCCTGCCCGCCGGCACGCCGAGCACCTCGGGAGGGGCGCGGAGCTGAGCCGCTCTCCCCGGGTTGCTTCCAGGAACGGTGGCCCAAGAGAAGGACTCTCTGGTCCATTTTACTATCTTCCAAGCAACCTCTGCGCTCTGGCAGCCGGGATACCTGGCGGCAGAGAAGGGGATGCACTCCCGCTCTCGCTCGCCCCAAAGTTGGGAAGAAGGCCACCAGCGACCTCCCCTTGCTCCCAGAGTGCTGGGTCTCTCCCGGCTCCCCGAGCTGGGCGCAGACACTTCTCGTGGAGAGTGCAAGTCCAGGACTGGACTGGGCGGGCCGCTGGCCACGGGCCGCAAGGGAGCAAAGCACCGCCCTGGCAGTTTTCCCTAGAACTGGGTACTCAGATTTAGGACAGAGGCCCCCCCGCCGTTATGTCCTGCTTTGGGGGGGGGGCGGGGGTGCAGAGGGCTCTGAACAGGTAAGAATCCCCAAAGCGGGTTGTGCTCTGGCAGCCCGGATACCTGGCAGCAGAGATGCAGCTGTGCTCCCGCTCTGGCTTGCCTCAAAGTTGGGAATGGTAGGGGATCAGATCTAGGCTGAGAAGGCCAATGACTGCCCCTCACATTCTGCTGGGGGTTTCACATTAGCTTGGGTGGGTACTGGACCCCAAAAGGGACTCCATGCCCCCTCTCTGCTGTGCATTCTACATTGCGTTGTCGCTCACTTCTTGTGTAAATGGAGAGAGGAAAAAGAACATGCTAGAAGCAGATGCGCAATGGCTGGAGGGGAGGGGGGAGGGTGCTGGGCTCAGAGCTTGTCACGAAGCAAAGTACCTGGGGGACTGGGGGGGGGGCGGCTAGAGAGGGGAAGCACATAAAAGGTAGTCGGAAGCAAGACAACATCTCGAAGTGGATTTGTCCAAGAAGAGTTGGTCACCGAGGCAGGGGTGGTCAGGGAGCTCTGATTGGTCGGGGGGAGGGATTTGGGGTGGGGCTAGCCTCGTCTTGAGGCTTTAAAAGCTCATCGGAAAGGGGCCGGATGCTGTCATTCGCTCTCTGGCTCTCAGAGTGTGAGGCACGCTTTTCTGAAGCTCCTGGTGACTGAGCAGGTGTTTGCTTTCTGGACCCTGCTGGGAGATCTAACAGTCTCCAGCAGCAATATGGGTCCCACCCTGGCAGTTCCCACCCCATACGGGTGTATTGGCTGTAAACTGCCCCAGCCAGACTACCCACCGGCTCTGATCACCTTTATGTTCTGCGCGATGGTTATCACCATCGTGGTGGACCTGATCGGCAACTCCATGGTCATTTTGGCTGTGAGTAAGAACAAGAAACTCCGAAATTCTGGTAAGCCACCCTCTTCTTCCCTACCCAGCATGCAGCCTCTTGTACCCCTTAGACTGTTAGTTTGGATGCCCCAAATAGGGAACGCATGGACAGTGCCCTCACCTTGATCGTCCCGGTCCCCAAATTCCCCGCGAACCTGCGAGAGGGGGGTGATGTTCCGCCGGGGGCCCCATAAACTTAGCGTTTTTCAAGGCCAAGGGGACTCAGGGAATTGGCTTGGGGCGTCCCTGTGCAAAGCCCGGGTTCCGCGGGGCGCGGCACGCCGCCAAGCCCTGCCGGGTCCGGGAGCTGCTGAGGCGGTATCGGGCGCCTGGCGGAGAGTCCCGCAGCCGCGCGGGGATGGCACGCCGAGCCGGATGGAGCCGAGGTGGACGCGGAGAGGCGGCGCGGGCAGAATGGCGACCCGCTCCGGGAAAGTTAAGTTCTCGGCGGCTGCGGCGGCGCTTCTCCAAGCGGAGGGCAGCGGCCGCAGCCCCGCCACCAGATCTCCGGCTCGCCGCGCTCCTGGGGCTCCAGCGCGGCTCCCGGGCAGCTCCCGGGCGGCGGGGCGCAGACCCCCGCGCTCGAGTGCCGAGCCGGGCGGTCTGAGCCCGCCGGAGCCGAGCTCCGTGTGCCCGTCCCGGGGCGCGCGGCGGGTCGGGGGCAGCAGGCGGCGGCGGCAGCGACGGCGGCGGCCGAGGGGATCCCGAAGCCAGTAAGCGGGTGCTGGGGGTGCCGGGCGCCGCGGCAGAGCTTTCGGGAGCCGCGCGTCGCGGGGGCTGAAGCGGGTGAGGAGCGGCGGGAGGGCGGCGGGAGAGCTCGGGGGGCGGCGGGGGCGCGGGGACGCTGCCGGGCGCGGGCATCTGAGTGCGGTCGGGGTGGCGAGCGAGACGCCCCTCGCCCCCAGCTCGTGACAGGGGGAGGGGCGGGCGGCCGGCGGGCGGGGGCGCGGGAGGGTGGCTCGCGGCGCCCGGATCAGGGGGCGGGGGCGGCTTCGCCGCGGGGCTGCCGCAGGGCGGTGGGGTGGGTGGGAGGGGGCCCTGCGGGGGAGGGGCCGGGCGGAGGGTCCCCAACGCCTCGCACAGGCTGGTGTGCAGCGGAAAGCGCGCGCCGGGTCTCCGCCGCCGGGCTCCGCTCGGGTCGGGGGAGAAGAGACAAACAGGGTCTTCTGGGGTCCGGCAGCCGCGGGGCGCGGGGGAGAGGAGGTGGCCGGTCTCGGGGCGATTACTTTGCTCCGACGAAGAATCAAACGCCACACAAGTACCCGACGCGGGCACGCGCGGGCACACCGTGATCAAAAGTTTCCCTCCGAGCCCTGGCGGGCGGGCGCGATGGCTCCCGGCGCCCCGGACTCGCGCCCGTCCAGCCGCGCAGCGGGGCCGCCCGCCAGGCGCTCCCTGCGCTCTCCCCGGGGGAAAGGATGTCCTAAAGCTGAGTCCACACCGGCTTTGTGGGCTCCAGCCCCCAACACTTGTGCTTTTGCTTTTCTTTTTCTCTTTCCCTCTTTCCTTTCCCTCCATGATTCAAAGAAAGGTTTTCAGGGTCGTTGTAGGGTTTTAAAAAAACATCTCCCTCTTTCCCCGTTTTCTTCTCGGAATTCTTTGGCTTGAGGAAAACCCTAGAAAGAACCTCTCGGGTGGAAGGCGCTCAGGCCACGCCTCGGCAGCTCGGGCGCAGGGAGGGCCAGGAGCCGCTCCTTTGCCCCTTGGGAAGTGCAGATTTTGTCCGAGCCCCAAACCCAGCGCGCCCGTTTGCAGACGAGCGCTACTCAGCAGCGACGTGTCTGCGCGCAGGGAGTTGCCTCTTTGTTTTTCCTTTCTGTAAGCTTCCCAAAAAACCTCCTCTGGGCTGCTCTGCACAGCCGGGGTAGGGGCAGCCCCACTTGCCCTCCCGCTGAGCCCGCAGGGGACCGTGAAGCTCGGCGCCCCGGCCCCGCGCCCCGGCGGGCTGGAGGGCGCGCCTGCCACCCGCGGCTTCGCGCCAGGACCCGGCTGCAGCGCGCGCTCCTCCGCATCTCCGCAGGCGCTTTCCTGAGCGCGCCTCTCCCTGCTCGCTGTTGCTAGGGCCTCACGCCAAAATTGACAGGGCCGCCCTTTGCCCCCCAGCTTTTGCCAGCCCGGTAATGGTGAGTATATGACCAGGCGAGGACTTGGCCCCTTCGGGATGGACTGCGTAGGAAGAGGGCGGCCTGCACTGCCTTTTGGATATGTGTGCGTGTTCAGCGCCGTCCTAGCCTCCGGGACGCACAGGGCTCGAGGTTTTTTTGTTTTTTTTGTTTTTTTTTTGGTGGGGGGCAGGGGTGTTAAGGCTTCCTGACGTCCCTGCCATCTCTCCCCTTCTCTGCTCCTCCCCCTTCCCAAGGTTCTGGTAGATTCCTTCTCCTCACCCGCTTTCCTCCCACCTTCCCCACCGGGGGGCGGCGGGGGGGGGGGCATGGCTTGGCACTGCTTGTCTCTAAATAAATGGCGGCTGCAGAGCACACGTGACCTTGTGGGAAAGCAAAAGGGTGTGTAACGGACTGGGCTCCCAAACCCCATCTGCATCACAATCGCCTGGGACCACTTGCAAATACAAATAAAAGCCCAGCTACAGCTCTTTAATAGAATTCCAGGTTTCTAAATTGTCCTGATGCCTCCTGACCTTTTTCTCCCATGCAAAAGTCTACATTTCCGACTTTACCCTTTGCTCTTCTGTCTCTCCCCTCCCCTCTTATGTTTTCCAGGCAACATCTTCGTGGTTAGCCTCTCTGCAGCTGACATGCTGGTGGCCATCTACCCCTACCCTCTGATGCTGCGGGCCATGGCCGTCGGGGGCTGGGATATGAGCCAGTTCCAGTGCCAAATGGTGGGCTTCATCACAGGGCTGAGTGTCGTTGGCTCCATCTTCAACATCGTGGCAATCGCCATCAACCGCTACTGCTACATCTGCCACAGCCTCCAGTATGAGCGAATCTTCAGCGTGCGCAATACCTGCATTTACCTGGTCGTCACCTGGATCATGACCGTCCTGGCTGTTGTGCCCAACCTGTACATTGGCACCATCGAGTACGATCCTCGCACCTACACCTGTATCTTCAACTATCTGAACAACCCCGTCTTTGCTGTGACCATCGTCTGCATCCACTTCGTCCTCCCTCTGCTCATAGTGGGCTTCTGCTACTTGAGGATCTGGACCCGCGTGCTGGCCGCCCGAGACCCGGCCGGGCAGAATCCTGACAACCAGCTTGCTGAGGTGCGCAACTTCCTAACCATGTTTGTGATCTTCCTCCTCTTTGCAGTGTGCTGGTGCCCTATCAACGTGCTCACTGTCTTGGTGGCTGTCAGCCCGAAGGACATGGCAGGCAAGATCCCCAACTGGCTTTACCTTGCAGCCTACTTCATAGCCTACTTCAACAGCTGCCTCAACGCTGTCATCTACGGGCTCCTCAACGAGAACTTCCGAAGAGAATACTGGGTTGTGTTCCACGCCATGCGGCACCCCATCCTGTTCCTCTCTGGCCTCATCACTGATGTTCGCGAGACCCGGGAGGCCCGCACCCTGGCCCGTGCCCGTGCCCGTGCCCGTGACCAAGCCCGGGAGCACGTCCATGAAGAAGAGCGGGTCTCTCCTGCTGTGGAGGAAATACCAATGAGTGTCCGGAATGTTCCATTACCCGGTGACAGTGCTGCTGGACAGCCTGAGCATGCCTCTGGCCACCCCAGGCCAGCCTCTGCCCATGCCAGGTCTGCCTCTGCACACCGCAAATCTGCCTCAGCCCACCCCAAGTCTGTCTTCAGCCACCCCAAGCCTGCCTCCGGCCACCCCAAGTCCGCCACTGTCTATCCGAAGCCTGCCACAGTCCACTTCAAGGCTGACTCTGTCCATTTCAAGCCTGCCTCTGTCCATTTCAAGGCTGACTCTGTCCATTTCAAGCCTGCCTCCGGCCTCTCCAAGTCCATCACTGGTCACCACTCCAAGACCTTCAGCCCTGCCACCAGCCGCCCGAAACCCACCACCGGTCACGTCAAGCCTGCCGCCAGCCACCATGAGCCCACCTTCGCCGACTACCCTGCGCCTGCTGCTGCCAGCCACCCTGAGCCTACCCTCGCCACCCCTCCAGAACTCTCTGCCTCCAGCTCTTCCACTGGCTCCCCTGAGCCTGCTGCCAGTCTCTGGGGGCTTCCTGCTGTGGCTGCTGCCACCACCAGTGATGAAGATGACCTTCTGACCCCCACTGTGCTCACCACTGCCGTGGACGAGATATCCGTCATCGACATCGATTCTGATGAATTGGCCGTGTGAAGAAAGTGGCATCCAAAGCGACCGACCTTACTGCACATACACACAGACAGACACATGCAGACTCTGACCCGTAGTTGTGGTGTAAGCTATGTCCAGCCGCCAGGCCTGCCCCTCTCTTCCATAAGGCGCTCCCCGAAGTGTGTGTGTGTTGTGTGTTCTCGCTCTTCTAGAGACCAAATTCCCCTCGAGTTTGACATCTGTTGTTGTGAGCCTCCTTCTTCCTGTGGGTGACCTTCAGCCCACAGGGAGACTTGACATTGGACTTTACTCCCACCCCCAGGTGGGCCCCGGGTTCCCTTCCCTTCCCCTCTGCTCCTGCTTTCCTCTCCCGTCCCGCAGGGGAGGAGCGCATGCTGTGGTGACGGCTTCCGTCCAGCAGACGTGACTGCCAGCTTCCCGTGTCCAGTGCGCGCGCGTGTTGTGTTCTTTACGGCAGTTGGAAAGGCAGTTGCGATAAAGCACGAATACTTGAAACGCTTTGCTGAATCCCAGCCACAAAGTAAGCCCCGTAGCTGAACAATACAATTTGATGAGCTCGTAGCAAGATCGATTTTCTATGCCTATGACATCACACGGCAAAAGGAAAGCTACGGACCAGCCAAGTAATTTCTATTTTCTGCAAATTCCAACATTGGTGCTGATTTTTATAGTTAAACAGGAATGCCAATGATGAGCTGTTTTTACCTTGTTTTGTAGTCACCTTTTCTCAGCATAGCCAGGACGGTCCCCCCACCCCCCATTTAGTTACAGAGAAGCAAATCCATCCACAAAGTAGTTCCTTCTCCTGAAAGCCAATTCCAGTCACACATTTAATGCCACAATTCATGACTACTCTTTACCTCAGAGATTTTTTTTAAACAGCCAGATGTTTCTACACAGTCAATTTTTACATTTTTCCTCTTTCATTGCCAAGGGAATTAATTCAAGGTAATAACCGGTAGCACAAGTGAGGGGGGGAGCTATTTCCCACTGCCCCGAGGGGGCCCGCGACCCCTCGCACACGCTTGGTATCAGCACACTCGACAGCCCAGGAAATGATTCTTCTCTAGAACCGGAGAAAACATCGAATAAAAATTTCAATTACCGATTCAAATTGACACTTTCAAGGAAGTTGACGGTGCAGCTGGAAGGAGGCGGGATGTCATACTGCCTTAACCTGGTTCTGTATTTGTGGTAGCAACCAAATAAACGTGTTGTCGTGGCTTTGGTGTGTTGTCAATAAACTCGCTTCCTGTCCCACGCTTCCCCGTGGGGTGTGTTGGGGGGTGGGCGGAAAAGCATTGACCTTGGTGGGGGGCTCCGAGGACCCGGGTGCCAGTTCCACCTGCGCTCTCCTCAGTTTCTTTCCTCAGCAAACCGTCCGGGTGGGGCGGGCGAGGGGAGGCTTCCTGAACAGGGTGTGTTCTTGTCACGACTGAGGTGACGATGAACGACCAACCTGCTGCTCTCGGATTTCTGGCTGTGACCTGCCTTCGCTTCTGGGAAAAGGGGCCCTTTTTAGTCCCAGGGGAGCGGTGAAGCTGTACCCTAATAAAGTCTTAACCCCAGAGGATCCGGGGACAGAGCCACAGAGCCCACAGGGCAGGGGTGGGAGCCACAGGAGTGGGGGGCGAGAGGACAGGCGCCCTCCTCTCCCGCTGGAAGGTAGGGTGGCGTGACCCCAGCCACTGCCCCCGCCCCAGGCTCCTCACGGCAGAAACAGTTTCAGAGGAATCTCTAATGAGAAGAAAATGTCCCAAATAAACTGCTCCCTAGAAATAAAGGTGAGTTCAAAATAATTTACAGTCAGCAGGACGTCAGCGTCGCGAGGAAATACGGACGCTGAAGCCGCGCACGCTGGCGCAGACACAGTTCTGAGTGCCCAGCGCCACACAGCCTTGGCAGAGCAGGTGCACAAACCAAGGTCCTGACTTTCCATGCCCACACTTGAGTGCTCACACCCCCCAGAACGGCTGCTGCACCACAGACCGGTTCCCTGTGCCACATTTCTGCCAGGTACCCCAGGACACCCCAAAAGGATGCTTGCTCACGTGCTTACAAGAGAGTCCACCACCACCCACCCCGCCCTGGCTTTCCACGTCCTTCCTCCCTGCCCTCACCCCAGGAGACTTTGCTCTGGCCACTGTGCCCAATGCACCAAAGTGTTATTCTCGGGGGTGGGGGGGTGAGGGAACCGTGTGGGGACTTAGGGTACAGGGCACAGTTCTGAGAGGAGGTGGGAGAGCTGGGAACTAACTACCTGCTCTCACAGTCCGGCTGCGCGCTCTGGCCCCAGTGGCCTGACGCAGCTCCAGTGATGCCCAGACGCCCAGCAAGTTCCAGCCGCAGCCCCTGTTGCCACCGCCCTGCCCATCCAGCGACTGGCATCTCTCCTGACCCCACTTCCACCCCTCTGGCCCCCCAGGAGCCAGCCCGGAAACATTTCTCTCTGACCCGCCTTCCCCACCCTGCCCCTGCCCAGCCCGCAAGCATTTCTGATACAGGGCTGCTGTGCCCGACCAGGGCAGGCCCCCGCGCTGCCGCCAGGTGTGGGGTGTGTCGCTCTGTCCCCAGGAGAAGGCCGGGCTTCGGGTTTGGTGTCAGTGAGATTCGGAAGGGCCGGGGGAGCCCAAGTGTCCACCACCGAGGGGTGAAACAACGCAGGCAGCTCTGAAAGGCCAGTGTCCCAGTTGCTGCTGCTTTGTTTTCCTTTTCAAAGGGAAGGACAGCTTTCACCCTTAGCGTGACAGCCTGCCGGTGTCCTGCATCTGTGCACGTCCGTGAAGCCACCAGAGCGTCACCCTAGCCGGAGGAACGGCTCTCCTGACGTGTCACCACACATTCACTTTGCCTGTGCTACAGCTCTGGGGAAGCGAGACGGTTCGCATCCTTTCGTCCATCAAATTGGCCATTTTCACCCGTTTTAAGAGTGTACACTTGAGTGACGCCAAGGGCGCCTTGCAGAGTGAGGTGGCCGTCACCACCCTCCTCCCCACAAGTCCTGCTCTCCCTTCAGAACCTGCAGCCGTCAAGTAATGACGCCCCAGTCCCAGCCCCAGCCCCGCCATCTCTTTTCCGCTTTCTGTCCCTCTCCATTTGCTTTGCCCAGAGACCTCATGCAAGTGGAACCTTCCGACGTTTGCCGCTTTACATCTCACCTCAGTCACCCAGCTGTGTCCTAAGGTTCACCCAGGCACTTGCCTGTGTCAGTACTGTGTAATTTTTTTTTTTATAGAGGCATGTTTTTATTTGTTTGTTTGTTTGTTTGTTTGTTTATACAAGCACGGGGTACAGTCGGAAGCGCGGGAGGGTGAGAGAATTCACCGGAGCCAGAGCGGGGAGCAGAGCAGGCAGAAGGACCGAAGGACACTGCTGAGGGGAGCAGCGGGCGGCAGGAGAGGTCTGCGCGCCATGTGGGACCCTCACTCGGTGGCCGGGAAGCAGCCGGGGATCGAACCGGCGCTGCAGAGGCTGCGGGCAGTTTCGCAACCCAGCGCTCAACCGCTGCGCCACCGGGGAGGCCCTACTGTGTAATTTTTATGGCTGAGTAATAGTCCACACTGTGGAGAGCTGGCAAGTGTCAGTCCATTCTTCCACTGATGGACCTTTGGGCTCTTTCCATTTTGTGTCTGTGGTGAATACTGCAGCCATGAGCATTGCTTTACCAGCGTTTGTGAAACCCTGCTTCATGTTTTGGATATCTACCTGGAGCAGAATTACAGAGTCATTTGGTAATCTGGCTTCTTTTGCTCAGTGTTATGTCTTTGAGATTTATTCATGCTTTTGTGTATATCAGTATGTTTTTTTCACTTGTATGTAGTACTCTGCAATATGAAAAGACCATAGTTTATTTATTAGTCCTACTGTGGAACATTTCAGTGGCTACTATGAAAAATGCTTCTCGCACATGTCTTTTGATTTACTTTTATATCGAGATGTAATTTTACATAAAGTGAGGTCCACAAATCTTCAGTGTAGCAGTGAATGAATTTTCACATATGCCTATACCTATATAACCACAATACAGATCAAGATATAAAACACTTCCAGAAGTTAGAAAGTTATGTTACACCAGATGAATGTTTCCAGTTCTTGAACTTCCTTTAAGTGGATGCATACAGAGTGTGTTCTGTCTGGCTTCTTTTGCTCATCATTTTGTCTGTGAGGTTTTTTTTTTTTTTTAAGATTTGTTTATTTATGCATACAAGAACTGGGGTACAGGCCAGAGGTATGGGGGGTGAGAAGACTCACCAGAGAGAGTGGGGAACAGAACAGGTGGATTGACTGAAATACACTGCTGAGGGGAGCAGCGGGAGAGTCAGGAGAGGTCTCCTGTGCCATGTGGGTAGCTCCCCGGCCAGGGATGGAACTCATGCTGCAGAGGCTGCGGACAGCTTCATAGGTTGCATCTTAACCCCTTGTGGCCCCAGGGAGGCTCCTGTCTTAACAATATTGCTCGAGGTAAAAATAGTCTCTTTTATTGCTGAGCAGAATTCCATTGCATTGAATATAACATTTTTTTTTTTTATCCATTCAACTATAGATCAACATTTGGACTGTTTTCCAGCTTGGGGCTATTATGAAGAAAGTTATTAGGAACATCCTTGCACCTGCCTTTTGGGACATATGTATTAAGTGTTCTTGGAACTACACTGACGGTTGGCATTGCTGAGTCACTAATATTTGTGTATTGAGTTGTAGTAGACACTGCCAAATGTTTTTCCCAAGTGGTTGGACTAGTTGATATTCTCACCAGCAATGTGTGAGAGTTCGAGGTGCTCTGCATTTGTGCCAATGAGCACCATTTTCATTTTAAAGTTGTCCTTTTAATTGTAGCTGTTCTAGTGAGTGTCTAGTGTGATTTTGCAGTGTGTTCCTTTAATGAGTAATGATGTGGACCATCTTTTTTCACATCATTGACCATTTGGATATCATCCTTAGAAAAGTTCTGAAATATTTTGAAGTTTCTTTTTCTTCTTGGGACTAGAAATGTTTAATATAGTCTAGGTATGAATAGGTAT